ACTCACTTTCTCACTGTTTTAAAAACATGTATCAGCGTTATAATCGTGAGGCTGGGCGTTATAGAGTTTAAATGTTTAAAATGAGACGGAAGTTTTTCACTTAGAGTTGCCATAATTAATGTTTTGCATTTCAAATAAAAATTACAGTTATATGTATGTGTCTATTATTTACATGTATAATTTTATTGAATATATTGATTTATTGGTTATTGTATATTATAAAGTTTCGAGTATAAAACTTATATATTTATTTTCGATTATATTTTATGGTATAATATAATGGTAGGTATACCTATATTTAAATATTTTTTTGTTTGGAGCGGTTCAACTGTAATATTTTTATGATAAAAAAAAATAAAGARTAGAAGAATAAAAGAATAGACTTTCAACCGATATCGTTCGTTTTAAAAAATGTTTCTTTTATAAAAAATTAATAAAAATATTAAAAAGTTATTCGAACCTTATAAAAACATTAATGTTGACAACATTAACTATTCAAATACATTTTTAAAAAGTTACTTGATTCGCATATTTTTCTTCCAATCAAACGTCTTATATAGTATCACGAAATTATTATTGGAAAAAAATAAAATTAATTTATCGTCCAGCCTTGCCCATATTATATACTCGTATTCTATTCACACGCCTACCTATGTATAAATACAACGCTGTTTGTTTTTGAACACAAGTAATTATATAACWAATACAYTATTATTTTTATAAATATAGAATATCATCACATGCTTATGAAGATTTAATTTATGTATGCGTGAASAAGTTATAGATCATCAAAATTTTTAAATAATTTGTATTGATGYTGACGTAATTAAATAAACATTTTAAGGTTTTTTGAAGAGGAAGGGGCTTTAGCCGATAGGTTATTATATAATATAAAGTAACTTTTTTTTTTGGTAGGGATTTATTCGTTTCTTGGAATTCGCTATCATTTCACCCCTCTTGCAACGCCTCGATGAATAATAATTATTTACGATAACCAATGCAACTCAAATACTGAAAACTTGTACATAAGTTTATCTATTTAAAAAAAATTGCCATGAGTGCTTTTATAATATATAATACGTTTAAACTTTAAAGTTATTAATAGCGTGGATTCCAAAATCATTTAAGAGCGTTCAACGCATAACTAATACACCAAAGGAATCTATATTGAAATTAACCGTTTTATATTTTTAGCCATGTAAAAATGGCACTGTGTATATTAAAATGTATGATTTGCAATTTATAATTTTTCAATATAGCAATATGATGATTTCGTTTGAGTTTATTTCGCAAATTATAA